CCCCTAGCCCATTCACTGCATTCCCTCCCCCCAGCATGCCCCATCCCCACTAACGTATTCAGGCCTTCACACAGAAATCAGAGAACTCATCTCCCTGAAGCCTTTACGCCCTGGTATACACATTTTTCTATTGCCGTTACTCACCCCCTCCTATAACTCAATACATATGAAGTGCCTCCAGAAGTGGTTTCTCAACTTATTTACCATTGTGGGCTGCATATGCAGCCCACAGTGTGTTATGTGGGCCACATCCAATACTACCTGTATGGCCCTGAGGATGTCACATGGGCTGTGTGTTGTTTGGGGCACAAGCAGCCTATGGGCTGCAGCTTGAGAACCATTGCCTGGAGCAAAGGACAACTATGTTACAGTGGAATGGTGTTCCAGGTCAGGGTTCAGAATGGTTGGTGGGTGAAATTTGAGGCAGGGCTGGTGAGAGAAATCAAAGACAGGGTTTCTGTTCCAAAATAGTGACAGTTTTATGTGTGAGGGAAAGATCCTGTGGGCCCTGTCCATTAGATGTATCCCATCTCTGAGAAACACTGAGCCCTGGTCTACACTGAGTAACATAGCTGAAGTCAACGTACTTAGATCGACTTACCGTGGTGTCTTCACTGCGGTGAGTCGACTGCTGCCACTCCCCGTTGACTCTGCCTGCACCTCTCGCGGCGCTAGAGTACAAGAGTCGACGGGAGAGGGCTCGGGGGTCAATTTATCGCGTCTAGACTAGACGCAATAAATCAATCCCTGCTGGATTGATCGCTGCCCGCTGGTCCGGCGGGTAGTGTAGACATACCCTGAGATGTCAGACCTTGTAATGTTTCTATACCCTACAGTACACATTTTCGGATCAGCCAGGAACCCTCTAATGTCTAATGTTCTGCCAACACTTAATTTTCATGCAGTGTTGGAATGCCCTGGCAGAGCTGTGGGGTGCAGGAAGGGTGGGGTGCAGAGGTGGGGTACATTAGCAAATGTGTGGGATAGCAGTCAGGGTACAGTGGTGGGGCTGCAGGAGGGATCGGGTGCACTGGCAGGACTGGGGCTGCAGGAAGGTGGACTGGCAGAGCTGTGGACAGTATGTGGGGTTGGGATGTACTGGCAGATCTCGGAGTAAAATGCCTCCCTTACCTGAGCCCCCATCCTCTCTCACCTCCCCTACCATCCATCCCCACATATTCCCCTTCTCATAACTTCCTGCAGCCCCAAACCCTTCTCTCCATATTCCATTCCCTCCCCTTCCAGGAAACAGTCACGTGTCTTATTTTTCTTCTCAAATACTTTGATTACAGTGCCCACAAAATAAAATTGCCCTCCAATACTGACAAATTGCAGCAACCTCCAGCCACTCAGTTAAAAACTCCTTTTGTCTCAAGTGTGGGCTTGTGATTAACTTATCCTTAGATAGGTTAATTGAAGGATGAGTTTTCAGCCACCAAGAGGTCTGATTCATCCAGTCATTAGTACTTCTCAGTTTAACAGTCCAAGGCAACAGAAGGAAATCAGGTTTTTTTGAGTATTGTAATTTGGGAACCCGTTGGTCCCAAATTTGGATTACTAATATCACCCCATGTCCCTATGAGGCACACCAGTTTTCAAAGCAATCCCATTAACTGTTCAGATTTTAGAGCTCTTACAGGAGTCATATTTCAATCATATAAAATGGCAGAAATTGAAATTTTCTAGCCATTTCTCTGTATTGGAGCACATAGAGTATAAAAAAAATGTACATTTTCTTAAATACCATTCTCAATTTGGGTCCACCAAACATTTACTGGGTGCCATGTGCTACCTTGGATATCTGAAAACTCCACAGATTAAGACCATTTTGATGCACAGCTTGTCAAAAATTAGCTTTCTAGCTCTCCATAAAACCTCACACCTAGAAGAATTTTTTTAAATGGCTAATTTTTGGTGGGTCTTATATCTCCAGAACCCCACATGCAAATGACTCAGAATACAGGTCACTACCCCGGCCCTGCTCCCTCATGAGGCACACCAAATCTCAAAGAAATCTGACTAACCATGTTGAATTTAGAGGACTTAGGCTGACCTTTAAATGGACATCATGACACAACCTTAACTATAGTTGTGCTACTGCACCTGTAGGTGTGCGATACTTTTATGTTTACATGATTATTGAGGCAGGCTGACAGATGCTATAAGGAGAATGCTGCTTGCATATCTCTCCATCCCCTATGAGAACTGAGAAGAGAGTGCTTCCCATCCACCGTTTCCATGACGTAGGAAATGACCAGGCCAGCGTGAGTGTGCACTCTCAAAGTGGGTAACTAGGTATTCATACACTTCTATCCATACTCCTCAGACTTGAGAGAAAAGAGAAAGCAAATGAACTAAAGTAAAACAACCTAAAAATAGATTTCAGGGGTCTCCACTCGATTCAAGGAACAGTAAGGAGCAAAGGAAATTCTTCTACACAGATTTTTAGGCAGGTAAGAAGAGGAATTCTTGTTCATCCATGTCTTCAGAGCTCTCATCTTGAGGTCTTGAATATTAAACTTAAAAAAACTAAATGGAGAGTGAGTCAAGCCTTTTGGAGGATCCCAAGACCACTTCCTTCCTCTCTAGTGAATTTGTTCCTGTAACAGTAATGGACAAAAGTACTGTCCTGTTTTGTTAATCTCTCTGAATCTCTAATTGGAAACTTTGCTTCCCCTTAAAAGACCTCAGCAGCTTGGTTGACCTCTGCAGTTTATCAGGTTAAAGACTCCCATTTTGATGGGTAAAAGGAATAGCTTCAGAAGTGTTTGATCATTAAAGAGATGAGCTCTCTGTTCAGATACAATAGAAAGGTAAAAAGTCAGCCAAGGAGGAATATTGTGGGTGAACTCCTGATCTCACTGAAGTCAGTGGGTATTTTGCCACCGACTTCAAGGGGATGAGAATTTCATATTGAGTGCGCATTATCTGGAATATCCAAATAGGACTGTAACTGGATCAACAATGAAAGAGGCGGCAGCATAAAGCAGGGTTTCACATTACAATGTAACAATTTTTGGTAAAGTGGAAGTGATGTTGAAGTAGGTCAACAAGGATGAAAGGTTAGTGCACTAACCCATCATTATACTTGCTCTTCTAAATTTTGAATCCTTTATGAGGTTATGCTATATATGTGCCATGGGTGACTCTGCTCCCTTCTTTTTTGTCTGAGCAATCTACATAAATAAATACTGTAAACATCCAAAGAATGTCATTGATAGTAGTTACAACCTGGGTGGATAAAAAGGGTGGGGAAAAGATAAAAAGTCTTCCCCAGTGAGAATACTTTTAAAACTCTTTTATTCAAAAGTGTTTTTAAAAAAATATGAAACTTTTATAAACAACTTAACAAAATTATATTCCCACTTTGAAATATTTATATTAAAAGATCACTTGAAATTTGCTGGCACAAACAGAGCATTTCCATATACGAAAGTGAATGGAAAATGGATTTTTCAGACCTTTCTCAGATTCTGCATTATAAAGTATTTTTGCCTATTTTATCCAATTTGCATTGCCCTCGTATCTGTCTATAGATATTTATGGATTGCTGAAGTGCAAATACACAGTAGCAAAAAATTCCTCTTAGATGCATTCAGGTAAATCAAAGAGATCCCTCATTTTACGGTCAAAATATCATGGTACCAATTCACTGTTAGTAGCTTATACTGAAGTAACCTCACAGAAGAATTATTTTTATTTCTCAGTTAATGATTCTCTGCTAATACATAGGCATTTCTAATCACTTGTAGGAAAAAGGTAGTTCTTAATTACACTCTTTATTTTATATATTTAATTTTCAATGACTACTTTTCTTTGAGTCAATAACTAACTTAATTTCCCCCATTTTGCTGGACAAATAAGCAGATTATATTATCTAATTTATATTGAATTGTATTGATCAGTGCCTACTAATGAGTGGAAGATAAAAATTAAAAAGGAGGCAACAATTCCAACAAGTAGGAAGAATGAAACTAGGAGACATTTTAGAATAACATTGTACTAATAATTGTTTTTAAAATACAATATTTTTTCTTAGTCTATGTTGAATGGCACAAAATGGTAGTGAATTAGGTCAAATCGGGTTAACAATCAGCATTATGTACAAAGAGGCCTAAATTGTGTTCTGATGCCAGTGGGATTTTGATGTTGATAGTCATGCAGCTAATCTAATAGCTGATGACCCCACTGATTAAGTTTTGCAAAACTTAGAGGCTATTCATAAAGAAGGAAGAGAAGTCAATCATGGAGGAGCAGCAAACTGGCTTAGCAAAGAAAAAGGCAGAGCTGAAAGAAGTGGAGGAAGTCAGTTATGGTCCCTGAATTCTCTTCAGAAGTACTCAGCAGTGAGACCATCTGAGGGGGTGGAAACAAATGCAGGAAAAGCAATTTCTGCATGTCTGGATGGACACTGCTGTGAGCAGGGCCGGCTCCAGCAAACCAAGCAGGTACTTGGGGCGGCACATTTTCAGGGGCGGCATTCCAGCCAGCCTTCTTTTTTTTTTTTTTTTTTAGTTTTTTTGTTT